TATTTATGTATAGTGAAAAACTGGCAAAGATATTCTTACTTATGAATATCACATGTGAATGGGTTGAATTATTACAATGAGAGAAAAATTATAAGTTTTACGGAATAATGAAGTGATGAGAAAAATAGTCCTCATCAGGATGTCATCAGAGGAATCCCACAAGGCTCAATACTTGATCCGTTAACATTTACAACTGATAATAATGATATGCCTGAAGGAATAAGAGACTACAGTGAACGTACATCTGCGGGTGACTCAAAACTTCTACACAAACACCTTTATTTCTATAAAGTGGCATATCGCACACTATAAAATCCTGGTAAATGACATGTATAAACTACTCTATAGAAAGCCCTTTGTTATGCAAAGAATTTCGGGCAGCAATAAAACTAATTTAATTAATGTATTTTCTGGCATATAAGGTGTACTTTTTCCACCAAAAAAAGTCTTGGAAAATCAGCCGGCACCTTATATGCTCAAGGTCAGGGTCAAGGGTAGGCTTCGGGTCATGCTTTAGCAGTTATTTACTAACGTTATGTTACAAGTGCTTGGAAACATCGTGACAGCAAGCAGCCCACACTCAAGTGCCTCATACATTGGAAAATACAGTCCTTGACAATGAGGCACATATACTGTAGTATGTGAGAATAAGAATATTTAGTTTATACTATACTGAAGGTATTCAGTAATTCAATAAAAAATTCTAATTAACCCTTTCACTTTCCAGACATCCAAAATTATTACTGCTTCCAGTGTCCAGTTTCTAAAAAAAATTCTAATGGTAATGACACCAAAAGTATGAAATTTAATGAGAACTTACGGAATTACACAGGTGCAAAGTGAGCAGTCTGGGCCCAATTTACACACTGCAATTTTACCCACTTTTGAGTCCAATTATAAGTAAATTCCATTGCTCCCTTCAAACAAATTCTTAGCTGTTTTGCTAGTATGCCTTCTGTTCTACTGATTGAGCACAAGAAACTGTCTATTTAACTATTACACCTACCCTATAAAGTGCATAGAAGTCAGTAATTTGGCCAATTTTACACAAAGTTAAAAAATACCAATTTATAAAAAGAGTTTAAAATAAACAATGTAGACACTGCTGGCACTAAAACAACATTTCATCTATTTATTAGTCACATCCCCAGGCCTTTCCTATATTACACCTGCCTTCCATTATGAATTCATAATCACATAACAAAAGAAGATTTACTCTATTTCCTGGATAGTAAAATGTAACTAGGAATGATTGGTCATGGTTTATGGCACCCAATAACTGAATCAGAACGGGGTATAAGGAGGCTTTCCCTGGCCTCAAGAAAATTGGCAAAGATCAAATATTTCCGCTACTTTGAGCCCAATTTCAAGCTACTTCCGGTTGTTGAAACCAATAGAAATCATCTCTATTTCAGAAGTATGTCTTCCATTCTTTTAAATGATACCAAGAAACAGCCAATAAAACTATAAAAATGATCCGCAAAGTTACTATTTTAAGCTAAACACATTGGTTAGTTTTGCTTTTCCCATCATGCATTGCACTGGGCAGGATTTTTTATTTATGCTGTCACCACACAGACCCGTTCTCTCATGTCTAGGCAAAATTTACAACTCACAGTTTATCTGAGATGAGCTCATGACAGAGAACTACATAAGGAACCTTGGCCTCAGTGACGTAGTTCTATGTGATGGCCACTGAAAGGCTTGAAGATACATTAAGGATGAACCTAGGTACCTGAATTGATACAAGGAAAAATCCCTTTCCAGTAATATGAAAATTAACATAAAACATTTACTCATAACAATCACTACTCATCATAACAACAACACTCATTACTCATGATAATACCCTTCATATAAAGAACTTGACTAAAACAGTATATGTATTAGTATGTGGATATGTTGGAAGGTGATCCAATAATCTATGCAAAGTAGAAAATTCTTATGGTTATAACCCAACAAAAAGATTAAGGTAACTAGAAGAGCCTCAGCGAAGAATACAGACAATAATATAGCCTTACTTCATCACCAATGAAGAGAAAGATGGAGGGAATGTAATCAAATTATATTACCAGAAAATTACAACTACAATACTGTATTGAGAATCTTATTCAATGGTGGTAAATTTTAAAATACAATTAGGTACAACAGTGTACTGCATGTAAAATGGACAAATAAAAAATTAGATTAAAATTAGAATATACAATGTAGAATAATATCTGCACCTTTAAAAAATAATGTTACATTGTAAAGATATAAATAAAAAAAGTTCAGATACTATTAAATGGATAAAAGTGTTAAGAAATAGAATTACAAAAAAGATTGAAGACATATAAAGTCATTATTGAAAAACAGGATGAAAGAGGAGATAAGATGACCACGCGAAGTTAACAAAACAATACAATATTTTTTTTTTTTTTTGAAACCAGCAATGTAAACAAGCAATAACAACAACAACAACAACAACAACAACAAAACAAGGAAGGTACACTTAGGTGTATACAGTACTGAATGTTGGTAGAAGTTTTTAAGATTTTTTGGTATTTTACATGGTCATGAGACAGAAAAGAACTGACACACAATCCTACCAGAGTGCAAAACGCTTGACAGGCTTCCATTTCACACTCGTATAACAGGATGCTACTATCTCCCCATGACAAAATATAATTCCATGCATCACATTTCAACAGCAAATGTGCATGTCCATGAAACAGTTAGATTATACATATTACAGAATATGCATTATAAAGCAAATCATTATTACTGTATAATGTTAAAATGCAGCTCCTCCAAATTATATCATAGTGTATTGTACTTTTTGTTTCTACACTGTGGCATTACTGTCAAGTGTGAAGGTGCCTGTACACTGTATTTTATGCAATGCTTGAACTATGGGTGATAGTCAGAGCACGAGTAGCACAGCGGAAAGTCTCTTTTTCATGCAATATTGGAAACAACAACTATCTACAACTGAGGATAATATCTGTCTGTCTCTGTCTTTGACAACGGTTCCCAAGTGGGACCCACAAATAACTCCGAGATCCTTTTCTTTATAAAACTCAAAATTTTATCACACAATCTATATACGTACTTTATATAGTCTGTTTTTTTCTCCCATTTATATTATATGATATTATGCAATACCATATTCCATTATCCATTTATCACTTCGTATGTTCAATTTATTAAGGCATCTTCTTAATATTTACAGTATTATCATTTTTATTATTTATCTTATCTTGCACAAGATTTTTTACTTTTTTTTTTTTTTAACAAGTCGGCCGTCTCCCACCGAGGCAGGGTGACCCAAAAAGAAAGAAAATACCAAAAAGAAAATACTTTCATCATCATTCAACACTTTCACCTCACTCACACATAATTACTGTTTTTGCAGAGGTGCTCAGAACACAACAGTTTAGAAGCACATGCATATAAAGATACACAACATATCCCTCCAAACTGCTAATATCCTGAAACCCCTCCTTTAGAGTGCAGGCATTGTACTTCCCATTTCCAGGACTCAAGTCCGGCTATATAAAAATAACCGGTTTCCCTGAATCCCTTCACTAAATATTACCCTGCTCACACTCCACAAAAAAAAAAAAAAAAAATAAAGTTTTCTATTCCTTCTGATATGTAATTTATACAAATTAAAAGCATTATATGGTAAGTACAGATCCTTGTGGCACCTCCATTGTAACAGTCTGCCTTTCATTCCTCCTATGTTTTCAAGCTTCCAAATTAATCTCTCATGTTCTTTAAATGATGCATAGTGAGGAGACTAGATCAGAAGAAATGTCATGTCTAGGATCAACATTTTGTGAATATAATGCAAAGAATAATGAATGAAGAAATTAGGTAGGATGATATGCAAAGTACAATTCATAGTTTAAAGGGGCTGTGCAGAGGATTTTCTGATGCAGAAATAATGGAGCAAGATAAATTGTTAAAGAGGGAGAATAAATTTGGGCTGGATGGAGAAATGCAGGAGGTACCTGAGGAAAGACTGGAAGATGGGTATGAAGAAGATACTGTTAGGAGATAAATATCATGGGTTTTCTCAGTGCATTTTTTACAACAACAGGTTTTATTTACAAACGTAAAATTACTGTACTACATAGCACACACATTATTGCCTAAGTGCAAACAAGCTCCAATGAAAATAAGAACAACTTAAATTACGTATGCCCAAGCAGCTCCTGGGCTGTTGCAACTTTCCATCCAACATCAGGCAGCTGTCCAGGCATGTCTTGTGTCAGAAAGTGTCTTGAATGTTTTTAATTACCAAGCTCTCCCTGATTATTGCACATTAACCATGGCACCCAATTTGATTACTAGTGATACTGAAAGTTGGACAACAAATAAAGAATTTGTAAAAATGATGCAGAAAATACAGCTGTGATGTTTAACTTCAACATGGAAGAAAAATATGAAATGGAACCGAATATTTGTATATTTTGAATGAACAGAAAAAAAAAAATTGTGGTGAAAACCTAACATATAATACTGACAAGTTGTGGTTTAAGATACATGAGCAAAGACATAAAACATTTTCTGGAAATAGTTTGGTAGTGGGACTTTGTTCACTTCAAGCACCAGCAACAAAACTTTTCCATGATAAAATATCTCAAGTGTCTGCTCATGTGTCTTGAGCCACAATGAATTCTGTGTAAACTTCTAGTAACAAGGATTTGATAAATGGATTAGTACAACTGCAGCTCAATAAGACTGAAAAATGCAGGAAACCATGAAAATTCTCTAGACAGTGATTCTATAAATGGATTACTACTCCATAATGTCTGCGGCTCAATAAGATAGGACTAGTCACTTACACTACTTAAGCTAACTCACCTACCAAAAGGGGAAAAAAAAATTCAGGGGTTCGCTTTTTAAGATATGGGACTTTTTACCTATATACAGGTTACACAGTTTACAAAGCATGCTATTATACTGCACATAGATTGTTAGGAACATAACTACCATACTAAGGGTGAGCTTACTGTAGTGAAAAATAGGGTCTTGAATGTTCAGCATGCACCTGTAAGTCTGCTAGGAGCAGAAGCAAATGGTCTTTGGCATTTGAAGTGCTGTTGGAATGTGAGCATGGTGAGATCTGTGAAGGGATTCAGCAAAATTAGTAAGACAGACTTGAGTTTCGGAAGTTGCAGTTTATAAGCTGTGGAGAGAAGATGCACTTTGGTGGGTCATCAAAGATAGCTAAGGAGAAAATGGTGTGGAATATGTTTTCTCTTATTTTTTTTTTTTTTTGTCATCAATCACCCTGCTTTTGTTGAAAATGATTGTAGTGCACTAAGAATAAGTGACTAAATTCACAGCTGTACAGTACACTTAATACATTGAGTACACAAGGTACTAAATGCAAATTATTGGGTTAAAATGATGAATGTTATTGAAGCTCAAATATTTGAGCATCATACAAAGAAAGGGATCGGGAGACTTAATTATAAAATTCACCAGATCATATAACTGAAGGTGTGAGAAATGCACATGCTACACTGGCTAATTTTAAAATAACTCCCAGATATATGGGTGGAGAGGGAGGCTGATACAGCAGTTTTTACAATGGACATTAGGCCAAAATTGGAATATGTAGCTGCTGTGTGATCTCTACCCCAAGAAAAACATGTGGATCAGTTGGAAAAGTTCCAAAAAGCTACAAAATGGATCCAAGAACAAAAACTTTGAGTTATGATGAAAGGCACCCATACTGGCTGATAGGAAGAGATATGATAGCAACATATAAGGTTATAGCAAGACACAAAAGAACAGATCAACTTTTTTTAAGTACCTTCAATAGGCATAAAAACTGAGAAAAAACATAGAGCCAAAGAGATACCTGAGAATTTTTTCTTTAAAGTGTAGAAGAATAAAATCAATATAAAGAAGATACAGCAACTGCTGCAACTATTGGAGATTTAGAAAATAATATGATTTACACATTAATGGAGATTGACATCTGCTCCTAAAGCAACAAATAGGCAAGCAGATAATTACTTGTCATAAAAAAGAGAGAATGTGTGGAAAATCTGGTATTCTAAGAAAATAGAGTGGATGGTTAGCAGCATGCAACAACAACAACAACAAAAAGCAAGTGCGAACCCCAAGCCAAGTGTAGCATCATAAAAGAGTATGCATTAGACTGACAATTACATTACAATTACTGATGACTGTGTCTTCAAAGGTAAACAAGAACACCAAGTATACTTTTGATACTACTGTATACATACTTATATGGTACAGGGCGGCCATCACTAATCCGGCAATCAGTAATCCGGTTGCAACAGTAATCCGGCACTAATTTCGGCTAGCATAATTTCAAATTCTCAGGGTAGCCACACCAACCTGCTGCTACTGTTTCGTGGCACTACTTGCTGCATAAGTCATTCCAGTTTCTTTTTCTCCATTTATTATTATAACCTGCTTACTTTTAGCCCTAGCCATGGTTCCAATGAATAAAAGAAATGCTCCTCATTGTGGAAAGTACATACACAGTACATTGTCCATAAAAGATAAGGTGGCTTTGAAGCCACTGTAAGCTCAGCTCACTCAGGTAAGCTGTTATCAGTAAATTTGGGTCTGTGTGGTAAGTGTGCACTATATAAAAAATATACTGTAGCACGCAGTGCATGAGAAAAAACCGTGACTGTGTTTTTGGTGTAAAACAGTGAATTTGTGTTTTTTGTATGGTTTTTATGGTTGTATTCTCATTTTTTGGTCCCATTTGATAGAATGGAAGATATACTTCAGAAATAGAGAAGATTTTGATTGGTTTCACAATGAAAAGCACCTTGAAATTCAGCTCAAAGTAGCAGAAATGTTCGATTTTTGCCGATGTTCAAGAGTAAACAAATTATGTCACCATCCAATACGTGTCCAACTGGCCGGTGTAATACGCAGTCACAAATGGGTTGACATTATTTATAGAATTATTACAATAATGCAGTAGTCTGCATAACACTAAATCTTCTATGTTTTGTGTGAATAAAAATTAAAGATGGAAAGCAAGTGTAACATAAGAGGGGCCTGGAGACGGGACTAATCAACAGAGAAAATGTTATTTTTAGTGCCAGGAATGTCTGCATTGTTTATTCTGGACCCTATTTTGAAACTGGCATCTCTTGAAATTTGTGTGAAATTGGTCAAATTAAAAATTTCTGACCATTTTATTGGGTAGCTGAAATAGGTAAATGGGTGGTTTCTTGTACTCAATCAACAGAATAGAAGGAATACAGTGGACCCCCGCATAACGATTACCTCCGAATGCGACCAATTATGTAAGTGTATTTATGTAAGTGCGTTTGTACGTGTATGTTTGGGGGTCTGAAATGGACTAATCTACTTCACAATATTCCTTATGGGAATAAATTCGGTCAGTACTGGCACCTGAACATACTTCTGGAGTGAAAAAATATCGTTAACCGGGGGTCCACTGTACTAGCAATATAGCTATGAGTTTGGTATTATTATAATCAAAAGGAAGGACTAAACCTACCAGGGTCATACAGCACTGCTATGAGTTTGGTAGACTGGAACAATATAATGTGTCAAAAATAGGGCATAAAGTGGGTGAAATTACCAATGCGTAAATATCGCTGCTGGGTTAATTGTATTCTAACATAACCACTCTGTAATCCGGCAAAATCACTAATCCAGCACCCTACAGGTCCCCATGATGCTGGATAAGTGATGGTCAACCTGTACTATAATAATACATGTATCTGGCTGAGTATAAAATAAAAACGTATACTGCTAGTTTACGTACAGTACATGTCTGCTTTTTATTTTTATACAAATGCCTTAACCCTTTCAGGGTCCTCAGGCCCTCTCCCAGACTTGTTCTCAGGGTTGCCCAAATTTAAAAAAAAAAAAAAAAAAAAAAAAAAAAAAAAAAAAAAAAAAAAAAAAAAAAAAAAAAAAAAAAAAAAAAAAAAAATTATGAAAAGATAGAGAATCTTTTCCCAAGCATAATGACACCAAAAGTATGAATTTTGATGGAAAACTTACGGAATTATGCTCTTGTGAAGTTAGCGGTCTCGACGATGTTTACGCATCGGCGATTTTTCCCACTTTGAGCCCTCTTTTCGGCCAATTCCAGTGTGCTAGTCGACAAAAATCATAACTATTTCGCTAGAACTCCATTTTTTCTATCAAATAAGTACAAGAAACCACCCATTTACGATTTCAACTATCCAATACAGTGGTCAGAATTTAGCAATTTTGCCAATTTCACACAAATTTCAAAAGATGCCAATTTCCAAATAGGGTCCAGAATAAACAAGAAAGACATTACTGGCACTAAAATAACATTTCCTCTGTTCATTAGTCACATCCCCATGCCCCTCTTACATTCTTTTGCTTTCCACTTTGAATTTTTATTCTCACAAAAAATAGAAGATTTACCGTTATGCAGACTACTGCATTAGTGTAGAAATGGTATAAATAATATCAGCGCACTTGTGAAAGAATATTAGACTCACCAGTTGATGTATATTGGATGCTTAGCATGATTTGTTTACTTTTAAACTTTGGTAAAAATTGAACATTTCTGCTACTTTGAGCTCAATTTCAAGGTACTTTTCATTGTAAAACCAGTCAAAATCATCTCAATTTCTGTAATATGTCTTCCATTCTATAAAATGAGACCAGGTAAACTAGAATACAACAGTAAATACCATACGAAAATACAGTGCAAAGTCGCTGTTTTAATCCAAAAACACGGTCAAAGTTTTTTTTTCTCATTATGCACTGTGTGCTGCAGGATTTTTTTTATACTGTGCACACTGACCACATAGACCCATTCTTTCATATGTAGGCCTACCAGCTTTCTCTCACTAGATTTGAGGGCGCTAGAATTTAGGCGTACTAGTACGTCAAAAACCCTGATGCGTAAACCGTACTAGTACGTCCGAAACCCTGAAAGGGTTAATGACAATCCTACTTTCAATTTGTGTGTGTTTTTATTGCCACTTCTGAAATGCCTTCAGGAGGCATTTAATTTCTCGAGTCAATTTAAAAATACATAATGGTAACTACAATGACACTGAATACCTCATACAAAACCTGCCTTATTAATTCAGTTGCCATATTTTCAAATTATTTCTCATTACTTACTGTTAAACTGAAAAATATGAGTCCTTACTGTCAGACTTAATAAATAAAACTGCCTCACCTGGTGTTATAAAACAAGACTTAATAAATAAAACTGCCTCACCTGGTGTTATAAAACAGTGTTCAGTACCTTGGTAACCGACTACCAATTAGGATAAACACCAGTACTGAATTATTTACACATATGTACTGTACAACAAGACGATTTTAAACTGCTACCTTATGCAATGCTCAACTGGTCCTACAAATGGTGATCCTTAAACTTGGAAAGTAATAAACTGATTCACAAAACTACTATTTAGACATGCAAATCAAGAACAAAACACCTGTTTAATGGGAAAAGAAAAACATCAAAACTGAGGAGGACAAGAAGGGAAGAATTCAGCTTCTATACTTACTGTTTATCCTAGGAAATGTAGGTATTACGAACACCAACAGTCACCCTTAACTCCTCCTTCACTCCCTCCCATATACAACAGAACCAACACAACCAGTATGACCATCTTTCTGAAAATATATTGAAGATATTAGGTTAAAAGTCTGCATTCAAAAGGATTTTTTTTTTGCAATTTGTAATTATTCAGTCTTAATAGAAAATTTATTAACACTCAGTATATGCAATAATTGCAAACATGCGACACAAGATGCAAAATAACTCCCCCTGTGGCTAGTCTGCATACAGTATATAATAACTATTGCACTGTATACTAGAAAAAATAGCACAAGAATGTATAATCCTGTGATATCAACAATGGGCCATTCTTCTTTTTTAGACTGACTTATAATAGATCATGACATTATGGTACAGTACTGCATAGATCTTTTTTAATATTACTACTAATAAAACTTATAAATATTCAGTTGCCACATGAAACCAACTCCAATGCATTTTCTCAATTAATATTAATGTCTTGTATTTATTTTTAACTAATTAGCAATATGCATACAAAGCAAATGAATATCCACAAAGACTGAAAAAATGAAGTAGAATACCAACTTATAAGTCTAACTTCATAAATACTAGAAATTAATTAATGAAATAATAAAAACCATGGAATGTGATGGCAAGAAAAGTGAACATAAACACACAGGATAAGGCAGATAAATCAAGAGGATGCTTCCAGTCCAGATGATGGTTATGTTCAAAGCAAATTTTCATCTCATAAATGGAGACATAAGAATCAAACACATCCCAGTAGTTAAAAATACAGTCTTTCTAAAAGTAGAAGTCAGAAGAAACATTGGTGATATCCTAAACATTAGTCAGATTTGCCACTCAAAATGCCTCAATTTGTACTGGACTGATGAAGCCACTGTGTGGCGAAACTCTTTCTCAATAAAGATTCCCATATGTTGCTTAAGTGTATCAATCTTCAACTTGTCAGTTTTCAAAACCATTCATCACAACTGTCAGACACTGCATCATCATGGGATCTTGATACAAGATCCCATGATGATGCCATGGTGATGCTTTGCCTCACCTGACTACAGTATACAAGCCACGTCTACGGCCCTATGCTGTACATTCTACAAGATTGATGGACTGAACACATTGACTCCAAGCTGAGGGACTGATTACCTCAAACTCCTCCTCTCCTTACACCTTTCTACTCTGTATTGGACTGATGAAGCCACTGTGTGGCAAAATGTTTCCTCAATAAAGATCCCATATGTTGCTTAAGTGTATCAATCCTCAATTTGTCGGTTTTCAAAACCATTCCTCACATCACCCATGTTTAGTTTGGTAAAAATCAGTAAATACCAATAAATTAGTGGCAACTGCTATTTAAACATTACCATAATATGCACTTCTTCTCAACAATAGGGACTAACCTTCCCAGCAAAATTTCAAATCCAACTTACTACTCAGGTTAGCAATTACCTCAGTGGCAGTTATCAAGGCTAAATTTACTCTTTAACTTGTGGATATAAATATTTTACTCACTTTCAGCACAATTTGAAAAAAAAGAAAATAGTAATTTACATCAGGAAAATTCTGAAGGAAATGGTCTCATATCTGCAACAGAAACTGCTCCCAACACAAGCAAGAGGCACAGCAGATGTAAAATACCTCCAATGAGAAGTAGGGATGCAATGAGTACACTAGATCATAACTCAAGAATTTTCAACATGTTTCCTTCATGCATAGAGAGATTTACCAAGACTCCCAGCTGTCTCCAAAGATAACTTGGTAAGTTCCTCAAGTTAGTTCCTGATTTGCCAGGCAGTGGTGCCTACACTGGACTGTGTGGCAGCTAGTACTAACAACTTGGCTGATCAGGCCACCAATCACAAGGTCTAATCTGGGCCCAGGCTGCAAGGGAGGTTACTACTGAAATTGCCTTCAGGTAATCTCATGGAATTTTGTTCAGTTGTAATTTTTAATAAAAACACAGTACAAGGCACTACACTCAAGCACTCAACCATGTGTATGTTAATTACAGAAACCAAAGCACAGTACAAAATAAAAAGGAGAAAAACGAGAAATTACAATAAAAATACAGAGAATATGGGAAAAACATGAACACTGTTAAAGCTAATAGAAAGCAAGAATGAATGTAGGTTAACATATCCTCATAAAACTAACTTCACTGGTCTCCTGACTCCCTCCTGCAGCTGTCACCATGTCTAAGTGTTCACTGCACCAAATTAAGAAACAACAACAACCCTCAGGCCATTGTGATCCTTAAGGGGCGTGGGAGTGAGTTAAAGGGGTGAGAGTGAATTAAAGAGGCTTGGGAGTTCAAGGGGTTTATTGAAAGGGCATGTGTGTGAATTAAAGGATTGTGGGAGTGGATTAAAGGCACACGGGAGTTAAAGGGACATTAGTGAGCTAAAGGGGCATGGTGGTGATTTAAAGGGCCCTATAATTCACTCCCACACCCCAATAACTCACTCCAACACCCAAATTACTCACTCACACACCCCAATAACTCACTCCCACACCTCTGTAATTCACTCCCACACCCCTATTATTCACTCCCATACCCTATAATTCACTCACACACTCCGATAATTCACTCCCACACCCATATAACTCACACCTCTATAACTCACTCCCACATTTTATAACTCTCACACCCCAATAACTTTCTCCCACACTCCTCCCACAGCACTACAACACCCACACACTTCCCACCTACACTTCGGCGTCTAACCCTCACCCCTGGCCTTAACAAATTATTCAAATATCCTCTTAGGTACTGCAAGAGCAGCGGCCATTACAGAATAATAGTGACGTCTGTCGCCTCTGACAAAACAACTATTGAGTGAATGATGCCCAAATGCCTCGGCATGATAGTGGCTGTCTTTGTACCAATCATATTATATGTAAACACACATTGTAACCTTAGCAAAGAAATAAAATTTTATTTTACTATTTTTATTTTATTATTATTATTATTATTATTATTATTATTATTATTATTATTTAAAAGTGTTTCCTTTTTGTTGAGAGAGAGGGGGGGAAGGGGATTAACTCTACCCTAGTCAGAAACAGCCAACTGGTAGTGAAAACAAACATAATCACGGTCAGTATTAAATGGCATCAGCCAGGACTGTGCTGATGCAAATTCCTTTGCTATGGTAAGATGATCAGTGCACTTGTATATGACGTGGTCAGTACACGTGTATGTGACGTGTGCCGTGCATGTGACATGGGCGGTGCAGGTGTATGTGACGTGGTCAGTACACGTATATGTGACGTGGTCAGTACACGTATATGTGACGTGGTCAGTACACGTATATGTGACGTGGTCAGTGCAGGTGTATGTGATGTGATCAATAAACGTGTGATGTGATCAATGAATGTATATGTGATGTGACCAATGAATGTGCATGTGACGTGATCAATGAATGTATGTGACGATCAATGAACATGTGACGTGATCATTGCACTATGTGACGTGATAAGTAGACGTAACTTGATCAGTGCATGTATGTGATATGATCAATGCACGTGAAACATGATCAATGCACGTGTAGTGATCAGTACACGTGTAGCGTGATCAGTGCACGTTTGACGTGTTCAATGTACATCTGACGTGCTCAATACACTTGTAATGTGATCACTATATGTATAAACGTGATCAGTGCACGTTCATGTAACGTGATTAGCGCACGTAGCGTGATCGGTACAGGTGAACGTAATGTCATCATTTCTTATATATGTAAAGTGATCAGTGCACGTATGGAACGTGATCAATTAATGTATATGTAATCAGTGCACGTAACGTGATCAGAGCACGTATGTAACGTGATAAGAGCATGTACATAACGTGATCAGAGCAGGAAACGTCATTAGAGCATGTAACGTGATCAATGATCAATGAATGTAACGTGATCAGTGCACGTATAGGGCGCCAGGTCACCATCCGGAAAAGACCCGGGCCGGGACACGTACCGGTGAATCATTCAAGTGCTCGTACATGTAACGTGATCAATACACGTGTGATCAGTGCACGTGTAATATCAGTGTACGTATATGGCGTGATCTGTGCATGTGCAACGTAATTAGTGCACGTGTATAACTTGATCAGTGCACGTATATAACGTGATAAATACACGTATTTAACGTGATTAGAGCACGTGTGACATTACTGCACGTGTATAACTTGATCAGTGCACGTGTAATGTGATCGATACACGTTTGTGACGTGATAAGTGCACGAATGTGATGTGTCATTGCACATGTGGGATCACGTATGTGATGATCATTGTATGGAGTATGTGACGATCAATGCACGTTTATGTGACGTGATTAGTGAATGTGACGTTATCAATACACTATGCGACGCGATCAGTGCACGTTTATGTGGCGTGATCAGTGAACGTACATGTAATCAGTGCACGTATGTAACATGATCAGAGTACGTAACATGATCAATGTGCATTATGTAACGTGATTAATGCACGTGCGTGTAACGTGATCAGTGCACGTGTATGTAACGTGATCACGTGTGTAACATGAACAGATTACGCATGTAACTAAGTACGCACATATAACGTGATCAGCGCACGTATGAGACATGATCAGTGAACGTATGTAATGTGATCAGTGCACGTGTATGTAGCCGTGGCACCAGGTGTTAGGATATATGCTCAACGTTCCACCCGTGCCATGGATTGATCCTGGACCCCTCGGTGTGTGAGTGTAGGACGCCACCAACCAAGCCACGAGCACCCATAAGGCGGCCATGTTTCTTACTGGGTTTATTGTACACTTTCTTCTTTATCTCTCACTCCAGTATGTTACTATGGCAGTGTGTAGGCTCGGGCCCAGTACCTATAGTATCAACCACGTACCTCTCCTCGACTCCGCTTAGGACTCTGAGGTGTTCCCAGTACTCCGAGGTGTCCCCAGTACTCCGAGGTGTCCCCAGTACTCCGAGGTGTTCCCAGTACTCTGAGGTGCTCCCAGTACTCCGAGGTGTTCCCAGTACTCTGAGGTGTTCCCAGTACCCTGAGGTGTTCCCAGTACTCTGAGGTGTTCCCAGTACTGAGGTGTC